ATTAATATGCTTAGTGCTCTATTGGATAAAGTAGACAGCATGCAAGAACAGACAAGCAATGTAAACTGAGATGGAAATTCTAAAACAGAACCAAAGAGAAATGCTAGTGAGCAAAAATTCTGTAACAAAAATGAGGAATGCTTTTGATGAGCTTAATTCGTAGACTGGACGCAGCTAAGAAAAGAATCTGACCTGAGGATATCTCAATAGAAACCCCCAAAACGGGGAGGGGTGAGGATTGAAAAACAAAACAGAATACTCAAGAACTGTTAGACAACTACAAAAGCTATAAATTATGAGTAACAGGAATAACAGAAAAAGATAAAGATAAAGCAACAGAAGAAATTGAATCAGTAATTAACAATCTCCCCTAACAGAGTACACCATACTGAAATGGGTTCACTGGTGTATTCTAGTGAACATTTAAGAAAGAAATTATACCAATTCTCTACTACCTGTTTCAGGGGCTAGAAGCAGAGGGAATAATTCCTAACTCATTTTCAGAGACTAGCATTACCCTAATACCAAAACAAAAGACATTACAAGAAAATTTCAGACCAATATTGCTCATGAACATTGATGCAAAAATCCTCAACAATGAACTACCACTACACATCTATTAGAATCCAAAATCTAGAACACTGAAAACACCAAATGCTGGTGAGGATGTGTAACGACAGAAACTCTCATTCATTGCTGGTGAGAATAGTGCAGACACTTTGGAAGAGACATAGAAAACAAACATACTCTTATCAGCAATTTTGCTCCTTGGTATGTACCCAAAGGAGTCGAAAACTTATGTTCACACAAAAACCTGTACATAATTATTTATAGTAGCTTTATTCATATTGCCAAAACTTGGAAACAACTAAGATGTCTCCTTCAGTAGGTGAATGTATAAATGGTGGCATATCCAGACAATGGAATATCATTCAGTTTTAAAAAAGAAATGTACTATCAGGACATAAGAAGACATGGAGGAACCTTAAGTGCTTGTTACTAAGTGAAAACAGCCAATCTGAAAAAGCTATATACCGTATGATTCCAACTACATGGCATTCTGGAAAAGGCAAAACTATGGAGATAGTAAAAAAGATCAGTGGTTCCCAGGTAATGTGGGGACAAATCAGGGATCAATACAGAGAATAGAGGAATTTTAGGGCAGTGAATCTACTCTGTGTGACACTATAGTGATGCAACATATCATTATAAATTTGTTCAAACTCAGAACATACACCACCAGCAGTAAATCCTAATATGAACTATATAGACTCTGGGTGATAAAAATGTATCAATGTAGGTTCATCGATTATAAGATTATAACAAAAGTACCACTCTGGTAGGGGATGGTGATAATGAAGGAGGTGATGAATGTGTAGGGGCAGGGCACCTTCCTCTTAATTTTGTTATGAACCTAAAACTGCTCTTAAAAAATAAAGTCTTTAAGTAAAAAAGTTAAAAATGTAAATATGAAACAAAACAAAACATTGGACCAAAGGGTTACTAAACCTGGGTTTACTTCCAATCCTGCTACTAACTAGCTGTGCAAGTCACTCACTTCCCCTTCCTGGGCCCTAATTTACTTATCTGCGAAAGAAGAAAAATTGGTCTCATGACATCTAAGGTTTTTTCCTGTTCTAAATTTCTATGGATAATGCTAATTGTTTCTATTTTAAAGTTACAAACACCCTCAAAACCTATGTAGGGTCTTCCCTGGTGGCGCAGTGGTTGAGTCTGCCTGCTGATGCAGGGGACACGGGGTCGTGCCCCAGTCCAGAAAGATCCCACATGCCGTGGAGCGGCTGGGCCCGTGAGCCATGGCCACTGAGCCTGTGCGTCTGGAGCCTGTGCTCCGCAACGGGAGAGGCCACAACAGTTAGAGGCCCGCGTACCACAAAAAAACAAAACAAAACAAAACAAAAACCTATGTAGGATTTTCTATATCAGATCAAATAAAATGGAATATGGCCACACAGACACACATACAAAAATATCTATGAAAATGAAAACAAAAAGATTAGGGAGTGACAAGTTTTGAAGATTTGTTTTTTAAACAGTTTAGTTCAGACATGATTGACTTAAACTGCTCATATTTAAAATATCCACTTAGAGTATCAAAACTAAAAGTTTCCTCCTGGCCTTTTAAATTTATCCTTCTCACCATATGAAATTACCCTACCTGCACATACTCTACCCTTTGTAATGGCTATTTTCAAATATATTCCAGAATGGAAAAGACTAGTAAGAAGTAATGATTCTGTCATTATTTATTATTTCATGGTTGTTCTTATTCTCTATATCACAATGCACTTAGTGGTTTATTTATAATCGCAGACATCATGTCAATTCACATATAACCCCTTCAGGATGTGTTTCTAAAATGTAAAGGCCCTTATATAACTCCAATAACTTTGTTGCAAAAAATCAAAATACTTAAAATTATGATAAACTGTTGTAAGTGCTGAATTTTGTCAACTGTATTATTTGATGCAGATTGATTGCAATCTGGATACAAAATTTATCTTAGGCAATAATTAGGTGTGTCTTGCATGTTTTTTAACCTCTATGTACCACTTACCATTTTTTAGTTCATATTATTCACTTGATGAAGCTGCTAAGCCATTTGTTCATTAGAATTTGCCACAATCTAAATTTGGTTTATTGAGTCTTTCAAAATGTTTAACATGCTCACTCTTCTTCCATATTTCCTGTACACAAGCTATGCTCAACATCATGAAATAGCAGGGAAATGCAACTAAAACCACAGTGACATAATGCTATATATTTACTAAAAAAGTCAAAATTTTAAAAGCTAACCATATCCACTTTAGCAAGAATATGGGAGAACTGGAACTCTCATACACTGCTAATAGGCATACAAAAGGAAACAATCATTTTAGAGGACAATTTGGTGTTTCTTAAAAAGTTTTATAGGGCCTTCCCTGGTGGTACAGTGGTTAAGAATCCACCTGCCAATGCAGGGGACACAGGTTTGAGCTCTGGTCCGGGAAGATCCCACATGCCACAGAGCAACTAAGCCCATGTGCCACAACTACTGGGCCTGCGCTCTAAAGCCAGTGAGCCACAACTACTGAGCCCATGTGCCGCAGCTACTGAAGCCCACGTGCCCTAGAGCCTGTGCTCTGCAACAAAGGGAAGCCACCGCAATGAGAAGTCCCCTCACCGCAAGGAAGAGTAGCCCCTACTCGCTGCAACTAGAGAAAGCCTGCGCAGCAACGAAAGCCAAATGAAGCCAAAGAAAATAAATAAAATAAATTTTAAAAGTTATATATTACCTACACTATGATTCAGGTATTGCATTTTGATGTGTTAACACAAGAGAAAGGAAATATGTCAATACGAAGAACTGTATCCAATTTGTGTACCACTTTTATTTGCAATAGCCAAAACTGGAAACAATTAGAACATCCATAAACAGATGAATAAATAAATAAATAGTGCAATAACAATCCAACACACTTTTCAATAACATAAAAAGGATGAACTACTCATGTAAGCACCATGAACTGCAAAATAAATATGCCACGTGAGGGGACCCAAGGAAAAAAAAGAAAAGACTTTATGACTTCAATCATATAAAATTCTAGAAAATGCAAACTAATTTGTTATAACGAAAAGCAAATCAATGGCTGCTTGGAGGACAAAGAGGTTATTAAAGGATTATTAAAGGTAAGTATGGAGGTGACAGAAACGTTTATTATAATGATTGATGGTTTCACGGATTTATATAGATATCAAAATTTATCAAATTTTATAGTTTAAATATAGATATTTACTGCATATAATTTATACCTTATTAAAACTTTAAAAATATGATTCAACTTAAAATTCTGGATTTCCTACTCTAGAAAATCAGTTTTGCCAACCATACTGACTCAATGGGCAGGTTCAGCACTTGCCTCAGGGGCAGCAAAAATAAGTGAGAAATTTTTGAAGTGGAAACAAAGACTATTTCCACTTCATTCAACAGGGATACTGGATGGGTCAAAAATACCATATCACTAGACTAAGAATCTTTCTTCTCTCTATCCTTGTTTTCCTGTTTGCACAGCAATGGCCTTAGATGAACAGCCCAGAGAAGCCACAGGAATCCACAAAACGTTTTTTTTTTTTTTTGGTACGCGGGCCTCTCACAGCTGTGGCCTCTCCTGTTGCGGAGCACAGGCTCTGGACGCACAGGCCCAGCGGCCATGGCTCACGGGCCCAGCCACTCCGCAGCATGTGGGATCCTCCTGGACCGGGACACGAACCTGCGTCCCCTGCATCAGCAGACGGACTCCCAACCACTGCGCCACCAAGGAAGCCCCACAAAAAGTTTTGATTATTTTCTCTGACAAGGCCTTCAGCTACACAGGATATACAGTTCTGGACGTCCTGAGAATTCCTGTACCTGCTCATCCTTCACAACCATAGTGACTAAACATCGTGAGTGACCTTTTAAAAGAGGCACATTCTAACCATTATGTTGTAGTCTCCTCCACTCTCTATTAATCCAGTGTTTCTGTAACAATTATCACTTCCCTGGCCCTTTAATCTTAAAATCATTGATGTTACCCTACAGAATTCAGGACATCAGGGCACATAGCTCTGCTGCTGGACCTGGGGAACAGATTTCCCTCAACAGTGCTGAGCACGATGAAATGTCGCCTGTGAACAAGAGAATAAGTTTATGTTGCTCTCAAAAGCACTAAAGGTTGTCACAGCAACCAGAAACAGCCCCCTCCTCAGTTTGAACTCTGAACCTACAAAACATCATGGTATGTCATCTAAAAATTAACACCACAAAGCCCTGCAGTCTTTCCTTGAAGGTTTTGAGCAGCAATGCAACCTAGGCCAAAACTGGAGAGGCATATTCTGTCATCATACTGTCCCTGCTGAGGCACACAGTTTGGGATCCTGACCAGAGCAGTTCATCTCAAGCCAACAAACCCAGTTTACAACAAACCACCCCATACAGTGAACAGAACCCCTAAGATTAATGGTGTCTTAAACAATAAGACCTTTATTATTATACAAACAAGAGCAATGGGAGGCAGACTGTTCCCCAGGCTAGTGACTTGGAGGCTGGAAAATCCCATCACTAGAGTCTCATGAGATCAATAATATTACTGAAAAATGTAGTCCATCTTTTCAAATCACCAACGGAGTCCTCTAGGCCAAAACTGGGTAAGGCCCATGATTTAACTCATAAGGGAGGAAAAAAACCTGGGAAAGACTAAGTGTTCAAGCTACTCATGAATCATCCCGCAAGTGGGAGAGCACTGGGGTTTCCTTCCCTGAACACACTAGCTTGGGTGAATGTTGCACACTATGGGCATCTGCCAGGTGGTTAGAGGTGAAATGACTTCTACTACAGAACTGGCGGTGACATAAATCTGGCAAGGGCCCTGGACAGGTTAAAAAGTGCAATGCAGCTCCCACATACCTGGAATTTAAGTAGATGTTTGGATGTATCTGGTTCAATACAGGCAAATGGCATCTTCATAAGGGATCTCCTCCTGTGTTGTTGCACTGAACAAAGAAATCATATATACCTGCACAATGAAGGTAGTTCTCCCATTTGAAATCTGTGGTATCCCATGAGGTATGTTCTTCAGCGGAAGGCTTTCTCACACTCACTGAATTTATAAGTTATAAGGCCTTTCTCCACTGTGAATTCTCTGGAGTGTACTGAGGCTAGACTTTGGCCAAAGGATTTTCCCCATCTGCCATACTCATAAGGCTTTGCTCCAATGTGACACTATGGTGTTTTAGGAGTCTGGAGATGAATTTCCCACATTCAAATGCACATAAAGCCTTTCTCCAATATGAACACTCTAGTGGTCACTGAAGTTGGGCCTATGGGTAAAAGATTTCCCACATTCACTGCACTCATCAGGCCTTTAACCAGTGTGAACTCTTCGGTGTTTAATGAGGCTGGAGCTATGGCTAAAAGATTTCCCACATTCGCTGCACTCATAAGGCTTTTCTCCAGTGTGAATTCTCCTGTGTTTAATGAGGCTGGAGTTTTGAGTAAAGGATTTCCCACATTCACTACACTCATAAGGCCTTGATCCAGTGTGAACTCTCTGGTGTTTCAAGAGACTGGAGCTGTAAGTAAAGAATTTCCCACATTCGCTGCACTCATAAGGCCTTTCTCCAGTGTGAACTCTCCGATGTTGCAGAAGTGCAGAGCTTTGGCTAAAAGATTTCCCACATTCGCTGCACTTATAAGGCCTTTCTCCACTATGAACTCTACGGTGTTCAATGAGGCTAGAGTTTTGAGTAAAGGATTTTCCGCATTCACTGCACTCATAGGGCCTTGATCCAGAGTGAACTCTCTGGTGTTTTATAAGACTGGAGTGGTAGGTAAAGAATTTCCCACACTCACTGCACTCATAAGGCCTTTCTCCAGTGTGAACACTCCGGTGTTGAAGGAGTGCAGAGCTTTCACTAAAGGATTTCCCACATTCACTACACTCATATGGCCTTTCCCCAGTATGAATTCTCCGATGTTTAATGAGGTTGGATTTGTTGCTAAATAATTTTCCACATTCGTCACACTCATGAGGCCTCGCTCCAGTGTGAACTCTCCGGTGTTGAATGAGGCTAGAGCTTTGCCTAAAGGTTTTCCCACATTCCCCACACTCATAAGGCTTTTCCCCAGTATGAACTCTCCAATGGTCATTGAGGCTGTAGCTTTTGCTAAAAGATTTCCCACATTCGCTGCACATGTAGCATTTTTCTCTAGTGGGAACTCTTTGGTGCTTAAAAAGCATGTGTTTGCAACTAAAGTCTTCAGTACATTCTCCAGAGTTATAATGAGTTTTCCCCCTGTGAAAGGCAGCTCCACACTCAGTTCCCCTGTTTGACTTCTCCCTCGTGTATGTGGACTCCCCATGGGAAAGGGACTTCCCTGACACAAAACATTTGCAGTCTTTCATAAATGAGGCTCTGTCCATGTTGCTTCTGAAGCATTTCTCGCCAATGTTCTGCTTTTGGTGCTGAAGTTTTGCACTGAAATACAACTGCTGCTCCCATGCCCCAATATCGTACAGTTTCTGCCTCTGTTGCTCAGTCAAGTGCAAAATGTCTCCCAAGTCCGGGCCGCATATCTCACAAAAATGGGCCTTTTGGGTGGACACACCTGCCTTGGGAGTACTGACCTGTGACATTCTATTTACAGAAATGCTCTGTTCAGAAGGTGCCTCTTCATCCTCTGCTCCATGACAACAACCTGAAAGCAAGTAATGCTGGTGAAGTGCACATTGACTTTGGTCGGAGGGGACAGCTACTACAAAAGTGTGTATAACAAACCTAGGAACCTGTCCATGGGATTGTTTGCAGGAGCAAGGAGTTGGTTGCAGTTGAGGATGGGGCTGCTTAGCACTACTGAGCTATAAAGATCACAGAATGGGAGAGGTCTCATGAGGTGAAGGACACAACCTTGTGGTGGACACAAAAAGAAGAGACAGGGTATGCAATTCCTTCTTCTACAAAGAACTTTGAAAAGGAACCTGTCTGCTGGGGACACATGAACACTGTATAAAAGGGTTGTGCCAAGACCCAAGAAAATACAACTATAGTAGGGCAGCTAGTCTTTAAGGACTGTTTAAGAATGTGTGCACACCTCATGAAACAATACATAGGGGGACTTCCCTGGTGGTCCAGTGGTAAAGAATTGCCTTTCAATGCAGGGGACCCAGGTTCTATTCCTGGTCGGGGAACTAAGATACCACATGCCACGGAGCAACAAAGCTCACACGCCACAACTACTGAGCTTGCGCGCCTCAATGAGAGAGAGGAAACCCACACGTCACAACTAGAGAGAAACCCATGTGCCGCCGCAACTAGAGAGAAGCCCGTGCGCCACAATGAAGACTTGACACAGCCAAAAATAAATAAATAAATAAATAAATTTTTTAAAGTTAAAAAAAAAAAGAATACATAGGGGCCAATGCAGAAAGCACTGCAGTTGGAGTAGTGAGAAAAACGGGTGAGAGAGGAGTCCAGAGATGTGAGGTTAACCTCAGGTTGGAAATTAAGAGTAGCAGTGACAATAGAGATGACGAATTGGCCAAGTGTCAAGAAAGGGGAAGGAAGACAGAAATGAAGTGTGGCCACTGGCATCAAAATTCTGGTCAAACACAGTAAGTTTCTGGCATGATTTGAATACGGCATTGTCATCATGCCCTCTATGTGCTACTATGCAGGACCAGGCTCCCTCTGAGTCATCTTGCTTGATTCATATACATACTGTGAACCTCTGTGGGCTCTCCAACCCAATCCCGCTCCCTCACTGATCAAATACATGGCACCTTGATGATACAAGAAGCAAGGGATTCGATATCCTATCATAACCATAATGGAAAATAAAGAATTTTTTAAAAAGAATAATAATAAAAAAAGAACTGTTAAGTCAACAGGGAAGATAATGTTGGGCATGCTAAAGGAAGGAGAGGGAAGTGCACAAACCTCAGCCCAACGAACCACAGCACCAACCCAGGGAACTAAGGAAGGAAGCAGTGCCCATGGTCCTGATGTGAGGACAGACTGCTCCTGGGGAAAAAAGGAAGGGCAGAGACTAGTTCAAGGCACAGAGGCAGGTTTGACAGCCTTACCCAAGGAAGTTGTAAGTGCCAAGTTCTCCAGCATCACGTTGTGGTACAGGCATCTCTGAGCATCATCAAGGAGATCCCATTCCTCCCAGGAGAAGTACACGGCCACATCCTCAAAGGTCACACTGCCCTGGCAAGATGGAGACAGATGAAACCACAAACAGCCCCTTTCTCAGGGACAACAATCCATGCCCCATGCCCACTCTCCTCCCAAGCTCTCCAACTCAGAGGAGAAACCAGGCCCTGGCACCATTGGTGTCACTGTCTTCAAACGGTCCCATTGATCACTGGAACCAGCCATCAACAAGAGGTGCGTTGGCAAGTAGGTATCTAAGCTGTGGACCTGGCATAGAGGGATCCACACACTCATGCCAGGCTATTCCACTGGTGTGGCCAAGGTCACAAAAGTCTCAATACCAGGGCCCTGGGGTCATCAAGCATACTCCCTCTTCAAGTACGCATAATCCTTGAGACTGGATCCCACAGCCCATGACTATGGTGGTCACCACCTCACTGTCCCACACCCCAGACTTCTAGACCTGTGTATTTAGCTGCTCACTTAATGCCTCCAATTAATGCTCTAGGAGACATCTCAGAAGCTCCTGATATCTCTGGGGAATATTACTCCTACTACCAACTTCCTCATCTCTGTTGATAGAGCTTCTATTCCCACACCTGCTAAAAAAACAAAACAAACAAACAAAAAAACAACCCTAGGAATATCCCTGAGTCCTGTTTTACTCCCTCATGGTTCACATCAGAAAATATAGTTGTCACTTTTAAAAACACACATCCAGAATCCAATCATACCTCCTAAACCATGACTCTGGTCCACTGACCCTCACCTGGATTATGGCAGTAGCCTCCATACCCATCTTCCTTACTCCTTCCTCTAACCCACAGTTTATACTTCATGCAACAGCCAGATGTAGCCAGTTAAGACGTTGGTAATACTACCTCCCTCCTCTGATTGAAACCTCCCATCAATCACCAAATTCTCAGCAGTCATTCCAGTCCTAATTACTGTCCCCTGATCTTTATTCCCACCTGAAAGAAAAGGGACTTTTCCTTTCCTGGAAATTCCCAGTTAGGTTTTACCTCAAGCATGTGCTACCAGTTTCTAGGATAACTTTTCACACCTGTTTACAATGGTTGCCAGAAACGGAAACACCTTCACATAACCCTGGCCTTAGGGTTTCTCCAGGGCTTCCAGACCCCAAAGTGGGGGCACGGCACTTACGAGTCGCAAGAAACCACAATCCAGAGAACATGTGGGTGGAGGTCAGGGACAGTGAGGGAATGGGGCACCCTCCACTTGGCTGTGTTGTTTCCAAAATGCGCCTCTGCAGCCGTGGGAAACGTGGAAAAAGCCAAGTCTTGAGGAATGAGTCTATGGCGGTGTTCGATGGGCTCAGACCTCCCTATACCCCTGCCTGACCCTGAAGACTGGGACTCAGGGTAGCTATTCAACCTCTGTTCCTCAGTGATCGGTTCTCCTTTTAACAGGTGTCCCTCCGCCTGTCACCCTTGCCCACGCCCCACCACCATCCCGGACACCGCGGCCTGGGCTGCAGGCACGTGAGCAAGCGCCCCGCATTCGGGGCTTTAGTCTGGCGCGGTGAGGGCCGGAGGACGAGCGTTTACCTGAGGCAGGTTCCTCAGCGCCGCCGCCGCCATCGGACTCTGGGCGGAGCGGGGCCGGGAGAGGCGGGACGCGGGGACGGCGGACCCTCTCCTGGGCCTGGCGCGGGGCCCCCGGGGGGCGTCGCCGAACTTCAGACCCGCCTCTATGCCGCGGAGACAGCCCCTCCTTTCGGACCTTCTCAATTCCGTCACCTCGAGATGGACCCACAATTCCCAAATCTCTCACACTGGTCAAACAAAACCAAGAGTAGCTAACATGGCCGCTGTGAAAAGGAAGCCAGAAGTTCCGCCCTGACATCATGCGGCCTCCTGTCTCTAAGCGTTCATTGGGTAGCGTTCCTGCCGCTCGATACTGAGCATTCTGGGTAATGTAGTCCCAACAGATCCACACACTGAGGAGACTGGGCTTTCTGCTGGAAAGGACTAGCTTTGCCAGGAGGGGAGTTGGGAAGATATATCCAGGTGAGTTTCACCCCACCTTTAAAGGTATCGTGATCCTATGTTTGCCAAATGCTCTCTGCAGCTGATCACCCAAGTGTTTGGAGACATAGAGTTTCGTACTCGGTGAAGATTGGCATGCTCCCAGAAGCTAAAAATACTATTTCAGGGAATTCCCTGGAGGTCCAGTGATTAGGACTCTGGCTTTCACTGCTGACGGCACGGGTTCAATCCCTGGTGGGGAAACTAAAATCCCGCAAGCCGCGGGGCACGGCACGGGGGTGGGGGTGGGGTGGGGGAGGGTGGGGAAGAGAGATTCAAACAAACAATTTCAGATGCCCCCAAAGGCTACAAAACCAAACGAACATATTTTTATAGAATCAGACACAAAATGTGTTTGTTAGCGGAAGCTAATAAACACTATCTTATTTCAATTCAAATTCATGCACTCCAAAGCATAAAGTTAGTTTTCCAGTCTATGTACATTTGGTCAGGGACAAGAGAGAAAATACTCCAGATCGTGTTCTGTCAAGGAAGACAGAGGAAGGATATTGGGCCACCCTCAATCAGGAGTACAAAAATAGATCTAACAGAGCCTCTCCTTGACTAAATTTTAGTCAAGCCCCTCTAAGCTTTTTCTCTTTATTTATTTTATTTTATTTTTTATTTTATTAGACCCAGTCTTTGGGCCTTGTCCTCAAGAGCAAGAATTCTGCTAAGTGGGTTTGGCAAGAATTTCCCATCCTAAATGTCTGATAGCCACTGATATCTGACGAAATTTCCTCATCCCTCACCATCACACAGGTAATAACTGATCACACTGACCTACACCTTCTGGAAGAATTGTTTAGGTCAGTTTAGGAAGAATTTCCCTGCTCTCTTAGTAATTTTTTATCCACTGACACCAACCCCCTTCCTCCTTGGCTACAAATCCCAACTTTTTTACAAGCGTCTGAGTAATTTTTCTTTAACAGATCAGTCTGTGGTTTCCAAAGAAAACATCTCTCCTGCCTTTAGAGTCAATTATTCTGTCTAATACATTGAACAACACTTTTAACCATTTAATATCTCTTACTTGATACGCTGACATATATTCAGTTCCTTTTAGGAATCTACCATCAATCTCAAAAAGAGGACAATGAGAAACATGCTACTTTTACTGTACAATGGCTGCAGTGTTCACAGTTGGAGGATGTATACAAAGGGTACTCTTGCCCTGGAGATACTGGGAGTATCTTAAATTTACAATTTCATTGCTGGGAAATGATTATCATTTCTTTTTTGATGCAGGGACTGTTTGCATGAAGAACTGATGTTATCTCAGAAAAATAGTTGTAAAATGCAAATTACAAATAGCTATTCATAATGTCTATGTAGTGATTCAAAGTAGTAGCAGAAATAGTTTTGATGAAACATCAGTGGATGATGGAAAAAGGTCAGGCCTCAGAGTTTTAGATGTGATGTCTGAGAAGACATAGAATTAAGCTGAGCCTATGACTACATGACTAGAATGGTCACTGTGAAGGTTTTATCTCCAAAATGTGACTCTTCTTCATTCTTTTTTTAAATACTACCATTACTCTTTTTTAAAAATTAATTAATTAATTTTTTGTCTGTGTTAGGTCTTCGTTGTTGTGCGTGGGCTTTCTCTAGTTGCGGTGAGCGGGGGCTAATCTTCGTTGCAGTGTGTGAGCTTCTCATTGCAGTGGCTTCTCTTTGTTTCGGAACACGGGCTCTAGGAGCATGGGCTTCAGTAGTTGCAGCATGCAGGCTCAGTAGTTGTGGTGCACGGGCTTAGTTGCTCCACGGCATATGGGGTCTTCCCGGACCAGGGATCAAACCTGTGTCCCCTGCACTGGCAGGTAGATTCTTAACCACTGCGCCACCAGGGAAGTCCTGACTCTTTTATTCTTGAAATTTTTGAGCAATACCAGCATGGAAGGAGAGAGTTAAAGGAGACATTCAGAATAACCAGAGTTGTAAAAATATACAGGGAAGCTGAGATGTCATATTTAGTCCCTGGTCTCACTAATGATCAATGAACAAACAGTTGGTTTTAGGTATTTACTGTAGGTACATGGGAGACATTGAGTCATAACAGAGACAAAAAACCCTGAATTCATAGGAATTACATTGTACTCAAGGAAGAAAGACCAGAAACAGAAAAGACTAATTGTATAATATGTTATAATGTGGCAGACAAATTGGGAGAAGAAGGCAAGGTGAGTATCCTGAGAAGTACAGTATGGAGTATAATATTACACAGCACAGAAAGGGAAATCTTTTTAATAAGAGGGCCTTTGAGAAAACACTTGAAGGACGTAAGAGATGAGCCCGCTGGGTACTTCTGCAATAAATTTTGGGGAGAAGAAGCAGGTGACCAGGTTGTTCAGTGGGTGGAGGCTTCACAGGTCTCCTCAGCAGTGCAGAGTGCAGGATACCAGCCCAGCTGGCCATTCCTCTCCTTTGCTCACTGCAGAGACACTCAGGGCATGTGGGTAGAAAGTCTTGGCTCTGCCTCTCAGAGCTTGAAAATTTCCACTATGTTGAACTGGGGCCTGAAACCAGGCATGCTCACCTTTCCTAGAACCCTGATTTTCAGAGTTTGATCCCAGGACCTTCACCATCAGTGTCACCAGGGGACTCATTAAAAATGCACATGGGGCTTCCCTGGTGGCGCAGTGGTTGAGAGTCCGCCTGCCGATGCAGGGGACACGGGTTCGTGCCCTGGTCCGGGAGGATGCCAAATATCGCGGAGCGGCTGGACCCGTGAGCCGTGGCCGCTGGGCCTGCGCGTCCGGAGCCTATGCTCCGCAAAGGGAGAGGCCACAACAGTGAGAGACCCGCGTACCACAAAAAAAAGAGAAAAAAAATGCACATGCTCAATTCTGAACCCAGACCTGAATGAGGCACTCTGTGGGCCAGGCCAAAGAATTTGTGTTTTAACAAGCTTCCAAGTGATAATGATACATGCTCAAGAAATATGTATCATTCTGCTGTGTATTCTACAGAGACATATACCTGCATTTCTTGCAATTTACAGGTGTTCTGTCTAAATATGTAGGATTTTTTGGCTGAAGTTGGAAAAAAAACTGGATCAGTACATATTTGATTCCTAAAAAAAGAAAAGTATAAAATGTTTTGTAGTGTTTATGAAGATGTCTTACACCATATACAATTATAAAATAGAATGTCATAAGTGTCAGATAATTAAACCTCTTGGAGGAAAAACAAAGCTTGCAGTATAGGATCAGTTTAGGATTGCTTCTGCACATGGATTGCTATCTGTGTGTTATCTATATGTTAAAATATAGTCCTATACAAGCTGCTTTTCTTAGTAAAAATAAAGTCATATTTCATATAAAGATATGCACTTTGCTTTTCTCACTTAACTGTGTATCTTGGAGGACTTACCTGGTGGCACAGTGGTTAAGAATCCACCTGCCAATGCAGGGGACAAGGGTTCGAGCCCTGGTCTGGGATGATCCCACATGCCGCGGAGCAACTAAGCCCGTGTGCCACAACTACTGAGCCTGCTGTGCTCTAGAGCCTGTGAGCCACAACTAATGAACCCGCATGTCACAACTGAAGCCTGTGCGCCTAGAGCCCATGCTCCACAACGAGAAGCCACCACAATGAGAAGCCTGCTCACTGCAAGGAAGAGTAGCCCCCGCTCGCTGCAACTATAGAAAGCATGAGCGCAGCAACCAAGACCCAACGCAGCCAAAAGTAAATAAATTAAAAATTTTATTTAAAAAAAAAAAGAGCAGGGAAAAGAGATGAGATTCCATATGTAAGAGCATTTATACTATTAAAACAAAACAAAACTATGTATCTTGGAGCAATCCTTTTGTAAGAACTTGCTATGAGGCATGATGCCCTTAATGTTCCTGCCCACCTCAGATTACTGATTTAGTCACAAACATGTAAGGGGCCTGGGACAATCTACTGTGTGGGATTTACTATATTTTGTAGCTTTGATAACAGAGTGAAGTGGAATTTGTCCTGTAATTGGAGAAGATTTTCATGCTGTTTCTGTCTCTTATGACCAGTGGATCAAAACTAAGTGTGAGATCATCACATTGAGTGGCCTGGAGCTATGTTTCCCAAACTCTGGGCGGATAAAAATAACCTGATGATATTTTGAAGAGAACATTTCAAGCCTCTCATATTGGAGCATGATAAAGAGGAGACCCCTTCAAAGGCCCCTAGAAAGCTCTGGTTGGTGACTGGTTGCTAGAGGAACCAATTTTGTGATTAGAGTTTGGAACTGTCAGCCCTCTCTCCCCCCACCTCCTGGAAGAGAACCTGGAGTTTCAGTTAAACTCCAATGGTCAGTGATTTAATCAATCATGACTAGATAACAAAGCCTCCATTAAACCCCTAAAGGATGGGGTTAAGAGAACTTCCTGGTTGGTAAGCAAGAATGCATCAATGGGCTAGGAGGGTGTGCATACCAAGCTTCTCAGGGCAGAAGCTTCTGCTTTGGGACCTTCCTAGACATTGTCTTCTGTACTTCATTGTCTGGCCTGTTCATTTGTATGCTTTGAAATAGCCTTTGTAATAAACAGATTAGTAAGTAATAGTGTTTCCTTGGCGCTCCGTGAGCTATTCTAGCAGATTATCAAAACCGAGCTAGGTTGGTCATGGGAACCCCCTGATTTGTAGTCAATTTGGACAGAAGTGTGGGTAACCTAGGGATCCACCTTGGATTGGGCAGTCTTGTAGGATGGAGCCCTTAAGCTGTGGGGTCTGTGCTAAGTCTGAGCACCTAGTTTCAGAACTGAATTAAATTGTAGGACACCCAGTTGGCATGTGCAGAGAATTGCTTGGTGTTAAAAACCCCACATATTTGAAACTCCAACTTCAGTGACCATCAGAGAGTTCACACAGGAGAAAGACCTTATAAGTGTGACCAATGTGGGAACGTCTTTAGCCACAGCTCCAACCTCACTCAACACCAGAGTTCATACAGGATTGGGCCTTATGGGTGTGTTAAATGTGAGAAATCCATAAGCCAAAGGCTTTACCTTCTTGATTACCACAAAATTCACAAAGGAAAAGCAACTTAGACATGCAGAAACGTCATATGTCCTCCTTCAGTATAACAACACTCAAGGAGGTGCCTTTTGAGGGTGCCATCTGCCTGAAGTGAACCTCATACATCCAAACATCAACATAAATTTCAGATATGTGGAAGGCGCAC